ATCTTTTAGTTAATATTAGATCGATTCCGCCAGAAAAATTCGTTCTACTAGAACACTGTTGGTTTATATAAAAAATGTATGAGTTAATCATTAATTTTTTTTTACCTGTAATTGTTCACTTTGACAATACTTTTCAGATTCTAGAAGGAATTGTATTATCGATAACGTTGATATGTTTATTTATTACAAATTAAAGTTGCATAATATAAAACAAATTTTTTATATTTATCGGATCGTCTGATTGACTCGAGTCAAGAAAAAATGTGACTCTGACCCGACGGATTTTTTGAATTAGGAAAAAATGATAGTCCTGACTCGAGAAAATATCAAAAAACTCGATCGGCTATGAGCACTTTTGGCCACGTGGGATTTATTTATAATTTTATCTTATCAATAAATTTTTTGTTTGGTAATTTCTTTCGGGTTTTTCTCAAGGTAAAGTTTTTTTATTAAATTATTATTATTATTATTATTATTGGAATGCTTTGGTACATTGACTGATAAGATAATTTCTTTTTTTTTCAAATTTTACACTATTTAGGTTCTTCTTTCGAGTTGATTCGTTTCCAAAAGTTTTGGACAGCGGGGTGTGCTAGCGATGGAGATGGATATGCCTCAGACCTCCCAGTTTTATATAATTTCTTTGGTAAATTATCAGAATCTATATGTAATATTAAACTTTTAATTAAATAATAATGCTTTAATCACAAATATTTTACTAAACTATTTATTTCGTTAATTTTAATTTTATTTTGATTACATGTTACAAAAATCACCATATGGAAAGTTTGCTAGGAAAATCAGGCTCTAAGAGTTTTTTTAACAAAATTTTAATTTTTATTTCATTTTAGTTTTGGATGTTATTAGAATAAGGTCAAAAAAAATTCTCAGAACCCGATTTTCCTTGCATATCTTTTTCGTTAAAAGTTTTAATTTTTATCTTATGAAAATCCCGATTTTCCGATTAATACAAGATGTTTGAAAAGTGTGATAATAAAATTAATTTTATAAAAATCACTAAATATATATCAAATATATTCCTTTTTCAATTATTTTGTATCAAAGCTTATTTTTTTTTTTTTTAAAAAATAATTACTAAAAAATAATTTTTTTCTGGGGGTATGAATACTCCCCAAACACCAAACACCAAACTTTCCTTTCATTCAACCATTTAGTAATTAAATATCTTTAAAAATTTAAAAGGATCCGAAACTTTTTTAACTTTTAAATTATAAATAATTGTTTGCGGCCCTAATTGCTTGTTTTGCAATTAAGATAATAGGCCATAAAATTTTAAATAAATATCATACAATAATATGATGAACAAAATCTCAGTTTTGGTCGGAGGGCTTCCGAAACCCGATTTTAATTACGAAGCTCCCCTATAATCCAAATGTTGGATTTTAATAGCAACCGCCAAAACATCACATACTATTTAATGCAAATCATACCCAAAGTTTTGATTATCACATATTGTAAAAAAAATACGATATTTTTGCATTGTGGAAGTTTGAATATTTAAAAATTAACGTTAAGGTGATGAATTTAACGAATTGAATAATTTTGGTCAATGAATTCATAGTTTATCAGGATATGCTATTAAATGCCTTCGAATTGGAATATTATTAAAATTTTTTTCAAAATTTTTTTTTAAAAAATGTATGTAGTGCAACATTCCAGTTAGGGTATCTACCCAAATAAAGAAAATACAAATAAGAATCCAATTTAGGCTATCTATTACGGATTACCAAATAAGAAAATACAATTCCATCTATTTACATTACATTGCATTACTACTGCACTTAAATAAAAAAAAATTACATTACGTGTCGTGTACAATATATTTATTTAAATGTCATAAAAAAATCTTTTTTTTTTTTTTTAGGAAAACAATTTTTTCCTTAAATTTACAATCATGGCTGGTAATTAAGCATTATCAACTTTGTTTCTCGCAACTAATATTAACCCATTAATTTAAATATAATATTTGTAATAGGAAAAGATAACGTATTAGAGATTTTAGAAGCTTCTACACCCATAGGTAAGGACAATATTTTATATGCGTAAAATTTGTTATTTTACTGAGTATAAAATATTTAATAATTTAGAACGTAAGTTTCTATAATAAATAATAAATTAATATTTTGAATTAAAAATTATTCAATGATAATCTTAAAATCAATTTAACCAAATTTTCATTCAAATTTATTCAATTAATATACAGCATGTAAGTTATTTCTATTGATTCATTTGTTTATGTATACATTCACAATATATAACTAATTTTAAATTGAAATGGTTCATAATAATACAGCGCGTAAGTTATTCATTTATTAATATGTAATTAATAAATTTGATTAAATTAATTTTAAAATTATTTATTAAAGGAGCTCGTAAGTTAATTGATAATCTATATATATATATAAAGTTATAAAACTAAACCTTATTTGTAAATTTAAAATTATTCAATAATGATACAGCGAGTACGAGTAAGTATTTATTGCATCATTTTATTTATATATATAATGATAACTAATTTAAATTTAAAATTATACAGAGCTTGATAGTAAGTTATTTGATTTAATAGTATCATTTTTATTTTAAAAAATTAATTTAACCCAATTTATATTTAAAATTATTCAATTAAAATACAGTGGGTAAGTAATTCATTTGTTTATGTATATACTAATTTTAAATTGAAAATGATTCGATAATCAAAATTATTCATTTATTTAATTTTTATTTCAATCACAACTAAATTAATTTAAAATTATACAAATGTTTGATTTTGCAGCGAGTAAGTTATTTGATTCTTAGCATCATTTTTTTAAAAAAATAAATTTAATCAAATTTACATTTAAATTATTCAATTAATATACAGTGAGTAAGTAATCCATTTGTTTATATATAAATTCATAGTATATTACTAATTTTAAATTGAAATGATTCGTCAATATCAAAATTATTCATTTGTTTATTATATTTAATCACAACTAAATTAAATTTAAAATTATGATTATACAGAGCGTAAGTTATTTGATTTCACAGTATCATTTTTTTAAAAAATTATTTTAATCAAATTTACATTTAAAATTATTCAATTAATGTACAGCATGTAAGTTATTTCTATTGATTCATTGTTTATGTATACATTTACAGTATCTAACTAATTTTAAATTGAAATGATTCAATAATACCAAATATTCATTTATATTTTAATCACAACTAAATTAAATTTAAAATTATGATTATATAGCAAGTAAGTTATTTAATTCATAGTATTATTTTTTTAAAAAAATTAATTTAATCAAATTTACATTTAAAATTATTCAATTAATATATAGCGAGTAAGTAATCAATCCATTTGTATATATAAAAATTCATAGTATATTACTAATTTTAAATTGAAATGATTCGATCATATTAAAATTATCCACTAATTATATAGGGTGTAAGTATTTTTATTATATTATTTATTTATTTATATTTTCAATCACAATTAAATTAATTTAAAATTATACAATGTTTGATTTTGCAGCGAGTAAGTTATTTGATTTTAGCATCATTTTTTTAAAAAAATTAATTTAATCAAACTTACATTTAAAATTATTCAATTAATATATAGTTAGTAAGTAATCCATTTTGGTTATGTATAAATTCATAGTATATTACTAATTTTAAATTGAAATGATTCAATAATATCAAAATTATTCATTTGTTTATTATATTTAATCACAACTAAATTAAATTTAAAATTATGATTATACAGATCGTAAGCTATTTGATTCATAGCATCAATTTATTTTTAAAAATTAATTTAAACTACTTTAAATTTAAAATTATTCAATTAATATAATTAATATACAGAGGGTAAGTAATTCATTTGTTAATGTATAAATCATAGTATATTACTAATTTTAAATTAAAATGATTCGATAATAATACAGCGCGTAAGTTATTTATAATGTAAATGTATCTTTTATTAATATATTGGCTAAAATTTAATTTTAAAATTATTCAATAATGATTTAGGGGGTAATTATTTATATTTTTAATCACAGTTAAATTTAAATATTAAATTATTTATTTGTATAATTTATATATAATTCATGAAACTTGACAAAATTTATATTTAAAATTTTATAGTTTGTAAGTAAATTATTGCTATTGTATGAATTTTTTATAATATAAAAGCTAAATTTAAATTTTAAATTGTTCAATTTTTAATGAATTAGTTATAAAGCAAAAGCGTAAGTTATTTCTATTATACCATTAATTAATGTACAATTTATAAAGCTCAAATAAATTTAAAAATTAAAATTAGCTAAATTAGCTAAATTAGCTGATGCTAATATAACATCAAGTAAGTCATTTTTATTATATCTTTTATTTATATATAGTTTATAAATTCAACTGTATTTAAATTTAAAAATTATTCAAATATTTAATTTAATATGAATGATGTAGAAAGTAAGTGATTTCTGTTGTATTATTGAATTTATGTATAATTTATAAAACTCAACTTAAATTTTAATTTAATATCAATAATAATACAGATCGTAAGTTATTTCTATGAATTATTAATGTATTATATATAGTTTTACCAAATTTAATTTAAAATTTAAATTAATTTAATAATAAAATAGCCAGTAAGTAATTTGATTTCTATTTAAAAATTTTCAAGATAAATAAGTAAATTTAAATATTCTTTTTTGAATTTAATTACTACCAGCTATAAAAAAATCAGATTGGCATATTTCTATAAGCCCAGATGGAAAATATCTAGTTACATTTAATCATAGTAATTATAATATTATTATTTATGTTTCTTTCTGTAAATTAATCTTAATATATATTTGCTTGCAGAAATTAAGGGGTTTAAAATTTTTGAATATATTCAATATGATAAAATCAAAAACGATAATGTATATTCACATTATCTTAGCAAAGATTTCTGTAATTCTCAATTTAAGGATCAATGGATGTTAGCAATATCAAATATGAAAGAAAAAAATGTCATCTTTGTCGCAATATCATGTGTAGTAGAATTTGATATGACAGTTAAAAAAGATGAAGTTAAAATTCAAGTTGAAGATACTACAATTGAGAAAGATAATATTTTTACATCAGAAGATAAAGAGCAACATTTGAATGGAAAAACTGTCATCTATAAAATACACTTAGATTCACATAAAATAGATGAAGTAATTTTTAAAGTAGTTGAAGTTGAAAAATATAAAGAAGAAGAAATCGGTGGAATTGTTTCTTTTGTTCATGATAAACAAACTTATTTTTTTATCTTTAATACTAATGGTATCTATAGATTTACCATTGAACTCGATGATAATGATTTTGAGCAATTTAACTATCCAAAAAGATTTATAAAAAAATTAGAAACTTTATACAGGTCAAAGTCTTGTATATTCCATATTAACAACTGTATTTTTGGCAATTACTTTCATATTGAGCAATACAGAGAAGGTATTCAAGTTATGCAATTATATGATCTAAGAACTATGCAAATACAACAAATTTTTAATATATATGAAGAAAAAAAATATAATAAATATAATGATTCGATATTAGCTATTTCAGCAAATAAGCAAATGATTGCTTTTTCTTCTGGATATGAAAAATTAGCTCTTTATTTAATAGAAAATGGTCTGGAAATTATTCATAAACATTTTAGAAAAGACACCAAAATAATTGCTTGCGAATTTAAGGATGCTAACAATTTAATGATAATAGTTAAAAAAGCTAAATACAAGGATGCAAAGATGTTACTTTGGAATTTATATACAAATAAATTTCAAAAATATGATAAATATATCGGAGCAGAAGAAGATGAAGAAAGTATTTTATATAGTGCAAGTATTCCTTGTAAATATGTATTAGTTGATGATTGTGGTAGTGTATTTTCAGTATATGATAAGTTATATCAAATAGATAATAATGATAAGGCAAAAGAAGAAAAAGAAAAAGAAAAAGGTTCTTTATAAGTATACAGTGATTGTAAAGTAAAAAGGTTGGATAAAATATTGGAATATGTAAATAATAAAGAAAAAGTGCAACCCTTTTTACATAACAGAGAACCATGGATAACTGATATAACTGATATAACTGATAATAAAAATAAGATATGGGTATATCTTGATCAAAATAAATCGATACAGTTATATATTGGAAAGTGTACAGTTCAAGTATGGCATCAAATTAAGCAAAAAGAAAAGTTTATTCTAGAATATATTTGGGTTAATGATGAAATTTTACAAATATTTGACTTAATTATTTATGAAAATGTAATTGGATTTTCTCTTAAATTAGAAAATAATATTCATCTTGAATGGGTATATAATGATGATAATGGTCATAAGAATCTAATGAGACATGCATACTATGCTCTTGAATATTTAAATGATCAAAAAGATAAATTAGTCGGATATGAAAATCAACATGGTATTTATTAATTTTTATAATAATTTTTTTTTTAAAAAAAAAAAAAATAAAAATAAATTAATGCTAATTTTATTTTCATAAAAAAAAAAAATAGTATTTGAAGAAATTAAGTATAATGTTACTCTTATGATTTGGAGATTTATTAGGAATTATCCTGGTATTTGGAAATTGTTAGATATTCACTATAATCTTATGGCAAGCATTATAATTGGTGGTTCAAATACTCTCATTAAATATATTTTATTTGGTGATGATAATGTTATAAATCATGAATATTTACATATACCAAGATTAACTCAATGGATAGATGTTGAATTAAATGATAGACCTAAAAAGAAATTGGAAATATATAAAGATAAAAGTGATTTGCAAATAGCTATTGGATGGTAATTTTATTATTTAAATATTTATATTATTTAAATAATTTTAATTGATGAATATTCTTTATAGGTCTTGAACGTAATCGCAGGATTTTGATTGTAACTTATTTACTTGAATATTATTCAAAAAATGCAACTAAACATGATGGGTGGTTAATTACTATTTCAAAAGCATTACCAGATTTATATAAATATAATTTAGGTATGTTTTATCATTTTTTTTAAAGTTATTTTTGAACTAATTTTTTTTAATATAAATAAATTTTTTAAATAGAATTTTGTGTAAGCGAATTATTTTATAAAAAATGCATGGAAGGTATCGAAATATCAAATATTATTGAACACACAGATATTATACCTAAAAATATTCAAATCATTTTAAAGGCAAAACAAAAGTATACAGCATTTAATCCAATCTCGAAACTTATTTCAACAAGTGAGCCGAAATTTAATTTTAAAGCTCTAGGAAAGGTTTTAAGGTTAAAATTAACAAAACTTTACGCAAAAATTCTTCCAAATAATTATGAAAATTGTTCTCCAACTGTAAAAATGGTTCCTTTACATAATCTTACTATTAATAGTATACATGAAAAGAATAATGACAAACCCTCACAATTGCCCCTATATCTACAACGTATTATCAAACTTTTGAAATTTTTATTCATCCCTCGAGGTTATGTTGTTATTAATTCAGCTGACGCAGAAAAATTTGCAAAACTTAGTCCATTTGTACAAATAATTAGAAAAGAAAATAATGATGATATTTTTAATAACCCTGTAATGGAAGCTGTAATTGATTACAAATGGAAACCAGCAAGAAACTATTTTCTTCGACTTTTTGTTCTTTATATTTTATTCGCAGCTTGTTTTGCAGCAATTTGTGGGACTTATGTGGCACATTCTGAAGCAACAGGATATCGTAATTTTTTATTATTCCTTATTATCCTTTTCTATTATTTAGGATGTTATTTATTAGTTGTTGAATACAGACAGTTTGAACATCATGGTTGGAGATATTACTTCAAATTTTTTAATTGTTTTGATTTAGCATCAGTTGTCTTAGCGGTGGTTGTAATGTCAGTTCATGTCACTCCTTCATTTGATACTAAAAACGCATTTGCTAATGTTGAGACAACTCAAGAAATAACCATCGCGATTTCTTTTACAATGTTATTACTGTGGTTTGAATTTGTATGTATTTCATGATTTATTGTGATAAAAAATGTTTGAATAAGGAATTAAAATTATTACATTTTATTATCAAATAGATTTTGTATCTTCGGTTAATATCAGGTAATATTGGAAATTAATATTTATCTTCATAATATATAAATATTTAACTTTTACAAGGGATTATTTCTTTTAGAACCAGCGAAATATATTTATATTATGCTAAATATTATTAATGAGACTTGGATATTTCTTGCTTTTATGATTCTTGTGATGGCAGGATTAGCACATAGTTTTTTACTATTATTACAATATCCTGATTTTACAAATCTTACAGAATCAACAACAACATCATCTACATTAATTATGGATGATTCAAACTTTAAAATTCAAAATGATTTTGATCGAACCGAAGATAACCCAGCTAAAAATTTCGTTATCTCATTTCTTGCAACATATAATTAGTTAAACGGTGCATTTTTACAACAGGATGCATGGAGTTTTTGGGCGGTAAAGTTTATTACTTTCTTTGGTAGTTTTCTTCTAGTAACCATCTTGCAAAATATGTTTATTGCTTTAATGGGGTAGGTTTCATTTTTTTTTAAGTGTTTTTTAGAATATAATTAATATAATTAGTAAATTAATTAAATTTTCATTAGTGGAGTGTATTCTAATGCATATGAGAAAGGTCGTGTTGCTTTATTACGATTTCGTGCAGAATCAATTTCGGATTATGAGGCTTTGGATGAGATATATTTCTATCCTCCGCCACCAGAACCAAAATTTATTTATTATATAGGTAAGTCAATAAGTCATGATAACTGGGAAGAGAATGTCAAAAAATGGGAGAATAAAAACTTATATGATGACTATGAAACGAAAATGATTGAGAGAAAATTATCATATGAGGATGAAGAAGATGATCATTCCGATGATGAAGATAGTTCTGAAAATGAAAAGAAGAATGAAAACACTGGTGTTAAAGAGCTTAACAATAAGGTTGTTAAGAAAGGAAAGGAAAAAGAAATTAGTATTACTGAGCTTGATAATAAAGTTTCTGAGGAAGAAGAAATTAGTAATAATGATCTTAATAATAAGATTAATGAATATAATATTAAATATAATAGCAGGTTTGATGAGATTAATAGTAAGATTGATAAATTACTTAATCTTAATCATTCAGTAAATTAATCTTTGAAATTTAGGAAATTTTGTTATAAAATGCTTTAATTTTATTAACGAAAGTTTTATTGTTTCTTCATTTTTAACTTTTGATAAATTCAAAACTTGACTGGTTTGAAAAGTCTCTCAAGCGTTGTTATAGATTTATAGATTCTTTTTTTTAAAAAAAAATTTCTTCATAAAATACGAATGCAGAAATTTTTCATTATATAACATTTTATTAAATATATATTAAGTATTTATATATTTTTTTATTATAAAGGGAAAATTGTGTTTCATTATAAAAGCAAACTTATTTTTTCTCATAAACTTTAAAATTTCTATACAAAACCTGTTTGACGCTTCTCGCGATGTGTGTGATCTTTGTTTATTTGCACCACATGAACCAGATTGTTTTGGTGGACGTTAATGCATGCCTCTCAATGAAATTGCTGATTTTTCTTGTCAATGGCTTAGCTATTAGTAAAATAATATCGGATTTTTTTTTGAAAAATCTAAATTCTTTAATGCTTATTTCTTATTTCAAGGCTTTTAGGTTTTTTAAAACCATGTCTGTAAATTATTTAATTCCAATAACGATAAGCGTTTCTAAATTATAAAAATTTACTTTTTTATTCAGCCCATAAAGTATCTAACCGGTTCGACACCAATAAAATTCAATAAAATATAAAAATATTTCTTCAATCATTTCGCAACAATCATTTAAATCGCCATTCTCCAAAATCTATATATTTTATACAGGTTAAATATCTATCGTTGTAGATTAATTTATTGAATTTCACGAGGTTATAAAAATTGTATGATTTAATAAATCTCTCAATTTTTTTTATGTAAAAATTTGTTTGTTGAATTATCGTGTATTTTTAAAAATTTGTCAATTCAAATATAATTGTTAAATTTTATTTTTTTATATGTCAAGTAATATTTTCTTCCTAAATGATTTAGAAGGATTTAGACAATGAGATTAAATTTACATGAATTAATCTTAAATGTAATAATGTTAATTAGATCTATTTAAAAATATATATTAGAAGTTTTATATCTTATAGCTTTATCGCCTTATGCTAGATATTAGCTTAATGGACATTGGTTTAATATATAGGAAAAAAAATTCATATACTTACCTGATTCGATTCTGCAGCTCGACACCGCCTAAAAAAATCAATAAAAAGGCGCAGAAGGTGGTTTTATTTTTAATAAGGTAGGGTTGTTAAAAAGTCTCATCCAAAACGATCCTATGAAGTCCGGTCTAGGTAGAATTTTAGTCAATATTAAAAAGAAAATTCTAGATGAATTGATCAAAGAAGAATGATATAAGCGTTCAATAGAACGGTATATCATCGTTCAAAAACGATTGTAAGGCATTCGAGATGGTTGTCAATTCCCTATAGGTATCTATCTATCAAGGCTCTTCATCAATCAAAGTTTAAAATGAAAATAAGCGCGCGCCTATCCGACGATCTATGGTCCGATCAATAATAAAATTGCGGTAATCCTGGTCCCCGCCGGATTTGATTAAGTTAGAATTGGTAAACTATAGTTATAATATATTTCTTAAATTAATTGTCGTAATTTTACTTTTTAATAACTCTGGATTCTAATTGATGTTACCATTTCAAATTTCGCGAAAGTATTTAAAATAGCTGTCTCTTTCATAAAATAGTTTGCTTTTTTTTTATTAAAAAAAAAAAAACCATTAATATACTTCAAAAATAACAAAATATACCTTTCAACTGGAAAATTTATTTAGGGTTTTTAATAAAAAAAAAAAAAAAGTATTTTATATTTCTTAAAGTTATCACGAATTCATTAAAGTTTCGCGCATTAGAGCTGCGACTCGTTACTATTTACTCGGATACAATCCGAGTATACCCGGATAATTATAAGTATCCGGGTCATAAAATAACAAATGGGTAAAAACAGATAATATCCTGTTTGTATCCGTTATATATTTATAAGGGTTGACCCGAATACGATTAATATAATTCTTATTAATTTACAGTAATTAGAAGATCGATATTATGAAGAATTTTTGTTCCCACATTTGGAAAGGGATTTGTTTCTGTTGTAAAATATTCTGCTACGCATTTTGCGTTGTGATCAATTATGGCGTAATTGTTGGGTTGTAACTGTAAATCTATTTGGAAAAATGGGTTTATTCATACATTTAGTTAATTAGCGGTAATGGCTCTTATTTAATGTTTATTTTTTCGTTTTATAGTAAAATGTAAAAACTATAGCTATATAAATATTAACTTGAACATCTTATTTGTGAACAAAACTGTCAACTTTGCATTTGCTTTTTACATTCATTTAAATTTTTAATAAATAAAAAAAAAAAAATTTTTTGTATCCGGATTTACCCGGATTCTGAAATTCTGACTCTATCACGCATTTCTTAAGCAATAATAAAAATGCTCAAGTTATTAAAATTTTAAAGATTTCGGATATTCCAATGGAAAATGCCTCACAACTTAATGGAGACCATGCCCAATCATTTGCAAAAGTAATTTCTAAAAGGCTTGGATTAATTCACTTACATAATTTGAATTGAATTTCAAAGGTTTGGAAAATGACATTAATTGTGGAATAGCAATACTTTCAGATTACAAGAAATTTTATTAAATAATAAAAAATTTGATGAATTCAAAATCTATGTTACACAAGTTTAAACCAACGTATAATTAACTAAAAGTGAATCGTATTAATTGTTAATCCCTCTAGGATAGACTTTTGAAAGATGAAGTATATTGATTTGTTAATTTGGTTATGGTGCAACTCTAGATTAATAGTATATTAAATTATCCAATAAAAATTTACAATTAGGATAATTTAGCAGATTCAAATTATATATAAACATTCAATGTGTAATTTTACGATCAATTTTTTTTTTGAACACATTAATATTACATATTAATATTGAATGATTGGTTTTACTGTGAAAAAATTTTTATTTTTTAAAAAAATCCCCTTATTAGTTTATTGTGTAACTCTAATGATCAAGGATATTAGGTAGCGCATTTTTTATTCATTACATGTTTTTTTATTTCTTTTATACTTTTTTTATTAATCATTTATTTTTAATAATAGGTATATGAACTTTTTGTCTTAGGTTTTTTATATCAAAAATATTGTAAAGCTCAGTATACATTGAAAATTAAGGGCATTATCTCTCCTTATGATATATTGAAATAAATATCTTAATCAATACTTGAGCAGCTTCTTTCTCTTCATTTTAATTTACGATATCATCAATTAGTAAATACTCTAAAGTTCGGTAAGGATTTAAATCATTTTAATCCATTATTTATGTAAATTCTACGTAGCTAATGTATAAAAAAAAATTACGTATAAAACGTTGAAAAATTCGTTTAAATTATAATATACTTAATATTTAATTGGTAATTCTTATACTGAGTTTTTGTTTTAAAGGTGACGACATCTTGACTCTACAAATATTTGACGAAATTTATAGTTAGTGAACGAATTATTTTTCATACATTTCTTAAAAATTTATTTTAAAGATGAAACAATTTTTGTATTCTAAAGATTGCCACCATTGACAATGCATGATGCACGTGTCGCAATAAGGACACATATGTAGCTTAACACCACGCTATTCAATAAACAAAACTTTAAGCTTGTATGAATACGGGTAATTTTGACAACATGTATAACATCGCATCATGTCTACTATGTTTTAGTTTAACTAATAATCTGGGAACAAGAAATTTTGTATACTAATTAGAATACATTAAGCGACAAAATAAATAAAAAAAACCTTTTGTTCTAATCTGTAATTTCTGAATAACGGTAAAGTTAATAAAATGTCCTTGCAGTGTCGCAACCTTTACATCGAAATATCAAAACTCTTTCAATTTGAGGTGTCCTGAAATCCCAACTTCATCATAATCAAAGTAGAATCGATTTCTAATTCTTTTAAATTTTTACAATTTTCAATCGAAAGATGTAGAACAGAAACCTTTTGCATATTATAAGTTTTGATAAATTTAGGATATATCGATTTGCCCATCGAAAACCTTCTGATAATTATTTACATTGTGAAAAGTGAATCTTGGCTCCTACATTGCTGTAATAGCCTGAAGTATAATCTATCGATTCACCTCGCCAAAGAAGCGAACCATCCCGAAAGAGGAATCGGCGCTCCTGAAACTGGAAATTAAAAACTCAAGAATTAAAAATAAACCAATCGCGACCCTACCCGAATTTTAAAAATAATTAATAAATAAAATAAAAAATTCTTACAAATGCAGCCAAAGCCGAAAATAGGGAACATGTTAAGATTCAAAAATAGTAATCGATTTAGAATTGATTAATTGCGATTTTTTCGGTTTCGATTTTAATGATTTTATTTATGGCGTAGCGATCTTTGATCACTAATTGAAAAAATAAATTATTAGCAAAGTAAAAAAAAAGTTTAACTATCTCAATTTTCATTACCATCAGTGAAGGTTCATGATGATCTTTCATCGTTGGCAATAATTGTAAATAATATTTATCATAAGAAATTGGACATTCTTTCGTGCGATTTTTTTTTTTTTTTTTTACAAAAGTTTAAATTTCGAAATGGAATGTCAAATTCGGTATATGGATATTCCATCAATCAATACTACAACTTCGTCATCAATTAATATTTGAGTGACAGGCGAGATGAAATTTGATTATCAAACTTCAATTTTGTAATTGCTCGTCTGGTTGCTAATTAGGGATGGTAACGGTCGGTCGTGGTCGGTCAACGGTCGGTCAAAGGCCGTTGACCGACCGACCGGTTAACTGACCGATTTTAACTGACCGGTTGACCGACCGGTTAATAGTAATAAAAAGTTTTAATTTAGCCAAATATTATAAATTTGATTCTTGCTTTAACAATACTAGCATGACATTTTTTTAAACTACTTTGTCATTTTTATATAGTGGCGCAGCATTATCGCGGACTTTAATTTTTTTTTAAAAATTTCAAAATTTTAATTTATAGAATAAAATGTTGA